TTCTAAATGTTATCCTTATTCCTGTCCTAATAGTTTATTCCTCTGATTTACCTTCGTCCTCCTATGTTCCATCCAAGGATGACTAATCTTGTTCGCTTTGCTGTGGCACCTAGGCTCTATTTTAAGGAAGAAATGCATAATTGAAGAGATCTGACCTGGAGGCAGAGAGCAGGAGCTGTAAAGTGTGTTTTCCATGTGATGTTCTTAGATAATACAATTAAAAAAAGAGACAAAATGAAAGACACTGAACATTTTATCTTTGTTTTACTTCTTATTCAAGAATGTATTCGATCTTCTATTTTGTGTGTTTTTGTGTGCTAGTATGAAATGATGGCATTATATTAATTATTATATTAATGTCCTTTGCTTGATGACTAGTTGGGCCTGTATTCAACAACCCAAACACACACAGTCATTCAGGCCCACACAAACGGGAAGCACAAACAGACACAAAGCCTGTTGAGCAATTAGTTTGAAAGCAGGTGATGGATAAAAATACACTCTGTATGTTTTCCTTAGAGAGAGAGTAGTGCCTTTTTATCAGGTTAAAGGTTGGGATGCGATGTGTTTTCAAAAGAAATTCTGTAAATCAACTTGAACTTGGAGGCAGATGTAATGACTTCCTTTTTTCAAAATGTACAGAAGTGTCTTCGTGGTTAAGAGTTTAGGAGAGTGCATTCAAGGTACCTCAAGGACAGAGCATCTGTACTTTTGAAAAAGTTTAATTTTTCTGTAGTTTTATGTTTGTTGTTTAGATAAGACTATCTACTGAATCGGTATTGCTGGATATTTTTTTACTGTATGTTGTTTACTTTATTTAAACATACAGGTAAAAGCCAGTAAATTAGAATATTTTGAAAATCTTGATTTATTTCAGTAATTGCATTCAAAAGGTGTAACTTGTACATTATATTTATTCATTGCACACAGACTGATGCATTCAAATGTTTATTTCATTTAATTTTGATGATTTGAAGTGGCAACAAATGAAAATCCAAAATTCTGTGTGTCACAAAATTAGAATATTACTTAAGGCTAATAAAAAAAAAAAGGGATTTTTAGAAATGTTGGCCAACTGAAAAGTATGAAAAATATGAGCATGTACAATACTCAATACTTGGTTGGAGCTCCTTTTGCCTCAATTACTTCATTAATGCGGCGTGGCATGGAGTCGATGAGTTTCTGGCACTGCTCAGGTGTTATGAGAGCCCAGGTTGCTCTGATAGTGGCCTTCAACTCTTCTGCGTTTTTGGGTCTGGCATTCTGCATCTTCCTTTTCACAATACCCCACAGATTTTCTATGGGGCTAAGGTCAGGGGAGTTGGCTGGCCAATTTAGAACAGAAGTACCATGGTCCGTAAACCAGGCACGGGTAGATTTTGCACTGTGTGCAGGCGCCAAGTCCTGTTGGAACCTGAAATCTCCATCTCCATAGAGCAGGTCAGCAGCAGGAAGCATGAAGTGCTCTAAAACTTGCTGGTAGACGGCTGCGTTGACCCTGGATCTCAGGAAACAGAGTGGACCGACACCAGCAGATGACATGGCACCCCAAACCATCACTGATGGTGGAAACTTTACACTAGACTTCAGGCAACATGGATCCTGTGCCTCTCCTGTCTTCCTCCAGACTCTGGGACCTCGATTTCCAAAGGAAATGCAAAATTTGCTTTCGTCAGAAAACATGACTTTGGACCACTCAGCAGCAGTCCAGCTCTTTTTTTCCTTTGCCCAAGTGAGATGCTTTTCGCGCTGTTTCTTGGTCAACAGTGGCTTGACACGAGGTATGCGGCAGTTGAAACCCATGTCTTTCAAGCGTCTCTTGGTGGTGGATCTTGAAGCACTGACTCCAGCAGCTGTCCACTCCTTGTGAACCTCCCCCAAATTTTTGAATGGGTTTTTTTTCATAATCTTGACGAGGGCGCGGTGATCCATATCGCTTGTACACTTTTTCTGACCACAGTTTTTCCTTCCCTTTGCCTCTCTATTAATGTGTTTGGACACAGAGCTCTGAGAACAGCCAGCCTCTTCAGCAATAACCTTTTGTGTCTTTCCCTCCTTGTGCAATGTGTCGATGGTCGCCTTTTGGACAGCTGTCAAATCTGAAGTCTTCCCCATGTTTGTGTCGGCTTCAGAACTGGACTGAGAGACCATTTAAAGCCCTTTGCAGGTGTTTTGAGTTAATCAGCTGATTAGTTTGTGGTACCAGGTGTCTTCAAAATTTAACCCTTACACGATATTCTAATTTTGTGACACACGGAATTTTGGATTTTCATTTGTTGCCACTTCAAATCATCAAAATTAAATGAAATAAACATTTGAATGCATCAGTCTGTGTGCAATGAATAAATATAATGTACAAGTTACACCTTTTGAATGCAATTACTGAAATAAATCAAGTTTTTCAAAATATTCTAATTAACTGGCTTTTACCTGTATATAATGTCCATTACCATTATATCCTGGAATGTTAGGACTTCTGAAAATTAAGTTTGAGGTTTGTAGCTAGAGTTATTTTAATTTCAATGTCCAATCCTGGAAAATATTTAAAAAGTTTGAAAGCAAGATGGCAAACATTGGGCAGCGGAGACGCAGCTAAAAGTAAATTAATGACATTAAACTTGAGTATTAAATGACAGCATAATTACAGAGCTGAAACAAACAGGTGATTATTCTACACAAATATGAGTAGGAAAAATATTACCGAGGAGTGAAAAAGGTGTTATAATGTTGATTTTATATAATTAATTAATGATAATTAGTGAAAATGAATCAACATCTTCAAGGGCTTTAAAGTTTTTTTTTCTGTGACTATTGACATGTATGTCCCTGAGGAGTATAGAGGGACAAAAATATATCATAGAATACATAAATGTGACTACCCTATGAAATGGATAGATGTAACATTTATTTATCTAATAATTATTGAAATATTAAGCATAGCATTGAATTATAAAACCTGTATATTAATAAATATGACAGTTAACAAATAAAAAATAAGAAATTAGTGCTAAGATAATTTGATTTTATTGAAAAATATACATATTTAATTAAAAATCAATGCAATTAATCTACTTTAAATTGATAAATAAAGATAAAATGTTGTATTCTTTGAGGTGTCGCCAGCCTGACATATTATTTTTGGGGTAACAGGCTGATATGCTTGGAAACCTCTGCTCTAAGTACCCTATTCAGTTCAAGAGAGAGACTGAATATTCAGGGTGCCCCCATTCACCTGGCTACTTTGTTGAGTTTACGCCGCTGCAGAAGAACAGGGCCGATTAGCCAAAACACGCCTCAAAAAGAAATGGAAAAGATTTTCTAGTACGACAAAAAATAAAGTAGGTCTTAAAACTATGATCAAGATGACAGAGCTGCATTTTACGTCCTTGATAAATGCATTAGACAACTTTATATCTAACCTTATCTCTTAATATAAAAACTAGAAAATGGCACCAAATTTGTTGTATTTACTGGCCGAGCTATTTGTGTTTCACCTATTTAATCTGCTCCAACTGTATTTGTAAAGATTTTACTATATATCCTTTTTTTTTTAAAAAAACATTTATGAAAATATTAGAATTTTTGGCTAAAAAATCCTTTTCAAAGTTTGGGGCAGTGAGGATGTAGACCTTATAAATTCAGAAGTGTGGGAGTGGTGGCTTGTGCTCTGAGAAGGTTGCAAGAATCCGGTTAGATCCCCAAAGCCTGCACTGTGGGTCCCTGAGCAAGACCCTTAACCCATGATTGCTCCGCAGGGGCCCAACAGTGGCAGCCCACTGCTCCCCAAGGGGATGGATTAAATGCAGAGGTGAATTTCTCTATTGTGAGATCAATAATGTTCAAATATTATTATTATCATTACATTTCTGCCTTTAAGTTACTACAGGGACAAATGACAGCCTGGGAAGAAAATTGCGATTTTCATAAAAGATATGCTGGAAATATTTAGATCAATGTTGTCAATTTTAGTCTGGGTTTGACTAGCAGTGTTATTCAGAAGCAGGCGGGCATTATAGGGGTATTTCACTTCTACATAACTGTCACCAGGATCCTTTTATTTTAACAAGTCATGCTTTGAGAGTTATACCAAAGATTATAGTGGTGACTGAAAGCAGCTAAAAAGCTCACTTCTACCTATTAATCTCCATAGCTTTGCATACAGTTGTTTTTTTTTTTTTTTATCAATTTCACACTAAAAAGTCTAATGAAGCTAATGTGCTCCTTGGCATTTTTAAAAGTATTTCAAATACTAATTTCTACATTCTGTTCTTGAATAGTCTTTGACAGAGTAAATTAGTTACTGATGTTACTTACAAGCTGCTATTAGTTTGCTATGGTCCTTACAGAGGGTACCAAAAAAGTGAAAACTGCTGTAAAATAATTATGATTTCTTATTGTTGGAGCTTTATGTTGTCTAATGTGGTCCATAGTCACTTTCTCCTCTGCAGCCACACTATAAGGATCTTTTGTACATGTGACATACCTTCATCAATGTGCTGTCAGCTGCTTTTTCAAAACATTTTGGCCTCAAATTCATTATCTTCTGCTTATGGATGCCCGGGTTGTAGAGCCAGCAGTCTCATTAGAAACCCAAGCACTCCCTTTCTTTAGACACCACCTCCAGCTCCTTAAGGGGAAGCAGCTCCATTCCAGGGTTAGCAGAGACACATTGCCCTATAGTGTGTCCTGGGCCAACCCCTGGGCCCCTAAGGACCCTTTCAGGAGTATCCAAAACAGATGTCTGAGCTACCTCAGCTGACTCCTCTTGATATGGAGGAGAAACTACACCAAGCCCCTCCCACATGCGAAACACTTTTAAACATATTTGGTTAACAGAATTATATTTGTCTACAAAATTGCTAGTGATTTTATATAATTTTTAATGGGTTAAGCACTCCTACGCAATCATTCATCTTCTATCTTCCCACCTGTTTTCACCGGTTCATGCTTTCCTTCTTTCTCTTTTCTTAGTGATCCATTTCTGTCTTCTCTTGTGGCAGGATTTCCACCGAGCACTCGCCCAAGCTGCAGATCCGAAGTCACAGCTACCTGCGGGCAGTGAGCGAGGTTTCCATCAACAGAAGTCTGGACAGCTTGGACCCAGCAGGACTGCTGGCCTCTCCTAAATTCCGCTCCCGCAATGAGAGCTACATGAGAGCTATGAGCACCATCAGTCAGGTTAGTGGGAATCTGGAATTTCAAACCTGTGGCCCATATCTGTGGAGGGTTAGTAGGTCCTCTGTGTAGTCAGTCTAATGCTCTGATCACAAATCTTGTAAAGACAGAAAAGTATGAAAAAACTTTAGGTGACGCATTAGTTTACAAATTGGAACATTGGCACATTGGCATGTGGAACTCCCTCTTGGTATCCCTAGAACTTTTACTTCATTTGCATTTTCAAAGATAGTGTTTTTTGTTAATCTTTTGTGAATTTAGAATAAAAGACTTGACTTTTTATTTTTTCACAGCTCAAATATAGTCAAAACAACTAAAATGTAGTTGGGGTGGCCTTATTGCCATTATTGTGAAGACTGAGCTTTAAAATTTTAATCACTGCTTTTTACTCTGTTTGATTTACAGCAACAGATAAACTTAATGGACCTCATGCAACAATATTTCCATATTCTGGTCATAAATGTATCTGTCCTGTGGTTTACATGTACAGTGTCCTTGGGTTTGTTGAAAAACGATTTAAATAAAATGTATTTTTAATATTATTTCTCTTCCTTTCTCTCCTACCTTTTTACGATAAGTTCACCATCAATCAACACGACAACATTCTGCTAAATCACCTTTGAATAAAAAACACACCTGTACTGTATATCTCCAGACCACGTCTGTCATCCCTTCATTGGGTTCTCCATCTCTTCCATAGAATGCATAAACATAAATGTGTTAACATTGAAAATCTAATTTAATGAATTCAGACAGAACAACATTCAACCATTTCATATTTGATGTAATAATGGAGGAATGGAGTTAAACTTTATTATTGATTAATGAATTAATAATAAAATTTTACCACACTAGAGGAGTTTTGATTAACTATCAATTTTCTGTTCCATGTGTTGTTTCAATAGCAGCAAGTAGCCACATGGAGCTCACTGACTATGTTCTTGTTTCTTTAGACAAAATGGTAAAAAATTAGACCAGAGTCCCCTGGATACTGACATGCTAACTGCAGGTGTAGTTCAATAATTAGTGAATAAAAATTAAATTTATAATTGCAGAGTTGCATGATATATAATGATATAGCCTAATAGTTTTAACTTAAGACAATTGCTTGCTGACTGCGCAAGACTGCTTCATCAAGTTTGGAGTGCTCGTAAAATTTGTTCATTCCGGAGAAAAGATTAGAAATAGGAGAAAATTTGTGACATTTCTCGATAGCAAAATTTTTTTGTTTGTTTCAGAAAAAGAGAATTTGCTTTGGTTCTCTGTGTCATTGATGTATTTATAGTTTTAACATAACAGACATTAAACAGTCCTAACACAAAAGGGCTAAATTTAGCAGGCAGCATGCAGTCTCATTTATGGTTCTTAAATGCTCACTGCTTTTAATGAATCAGTCAATCCAGTGAAAACTGAGGATCTCCTCAGGGTTTAAGACATCCAACCAACCATGTTTGAGGAAGCATCACTCCAAAAACAGAAGAGTTTTGACCTGAGAAAAAAATAAATGCTCAAAAAACAGAGGAAGGACATAGAAATTTGGAGACTTTGAAGTTTGTCCAAGCGTGTTAGGTGCTGGGGAAACTTGCTAAGGTTAAAGAATTAGGGGTAACCTAAAACATATGTCGCACCTAGAAAAAGGTAGCGAAAACCTAGGTAAATGTTCCTGACAGGCTAACACAAACCCTTACCTGAAATCTGCGGTCCATGCTGAAAGACCAGAGGATATGGAGGAGCTTAGAAGAGGAATACATTGGGACATCAACTTTGGTAAACTACATGCTGTAGTTTACCAAAGTTGATTCATAACTGACTATTAATATCAGAGGGGGGTAATAATTTGGATCTTGGTAGTGTTTTCTTTTGTGAAATAATCTTGGTTTTAGGATCAACATAAAATAATATAAAGTGTTATTACAGATGATCAATGTAATAATCTCAAGGGTGTCCACATAAAATAGTACCGTATTTTAATAAAAAAAACACTGCCATTTAGAGGACTTTAAGATGATGATTTTCCCAGTTCACCAATCATGCCGAAGACTAATGTTAGAATAACAAACCGCATTAACAGAAACGGACAAAGAAATATAGAAATAAATACAAGTAGAAATAAATTAATGTAGAAATATATAAACAAATGCAAATAGAAATAAAAAATAAAGGAAAAATACACAAATGAAAATAAAGGAATATACACAAATAAATAAATACAAGAAAAAACTCTAAAGTATTACCCTTTTTACATGACCAAAACATATTTATTTATGTATGTTTATATATATATATATATATATATATATATATATATATATGTACACATATATATATGTGTGTAAGTATGTGTGTGTGTGTGTGTGTGTATTTATTTATTTTCATTTTTATTTTTTGTTTTGTCAGTTTCCTCCTTCATATGGATTCAGCCAGGACAATAAACTAAACATACCCTAAGACAACAATAAAATTGTTTTGAATCATAACATATTGAAGAAAGAAATAATAATTTGTTGCTCTCTGTTCTGTTTTCTTCCTTAATACTAGAAAAATGGATTTTATTTACTCTGCTTAATCTAAATATAACATTCTGCAAAAAGATTGAGTGTTAAGGGAATCACTTTAGCCAGTTTTTAACACGACTTGCAGCTTTAGTTAAAGTGCTGTTTTTAACCACTTCTGATTTCTAATGGACGTCAGAGGGCCTGGGAGCGCCTGTGTGCCCCAGAGCAGCAATGGCTGCAGTGTAGCTTGCCACCATAAGTATGTGATTGTTTAGGTAAATGTAGTGAAAAGCTCTGCAAAGTCCCCTGGCTTAAAAAGGTGCTAAATAAATACAGGCAATTTACTATATTTACACAGTAATTAATGCTAAATACAAATGTCAATTATCCTATACAAAATTATTATTAACATGTATTATCTTCCTTATATTTCTTCTGGTATATCCTTTTAAATTCCAACAAAATACATCGAAGTTAGGGGCACTAAAGCCAAAATGTGTAAACCTGTACTGATCGGTTCTGTTCTAGTAAATTGCTTCTACAAAAAGGATTTTTTTAGCTTTAATCATTGGAAAAGCCCACATCAAATGTTCCACACGAACACAGTTGTCCCTAAATTAGTCTTGCTTACTGACTGTTCTCTTTGTGTTTTACCTTCTACGTGCCACTGCTTTAAAACATGCCTTAATCCAGCTGTTTTGCTTTTTACAGGTGAGTGAGGTGGAGGTTAACGGGCAGATAGAGGCGGTTTGTGAGTCCGTCTTCAGCGAGATGGAGTCCCAGGCAGTGGATGCCCTGGATCTACCCATGCCTGGCTGCTTCCGAATGAGGAGCCACAGCTACGTGCGTGCCATAGAGAAGGGCTGCTCACAAGAAGAGGAAGAGGGTGTCGTAGCATTGTGTGAAAGGACAACAGACTCCCCTCCACGCACCGCCACAACTGTCCGAACGATCCAGAGCAGCACAGGTAAAGGCTGGGGAACATCACTTTTTCAAATGCTGACTCGTCTGCTCATGTGCACTAACATACATATTCTATAGCCCATTATAAATTCATCTGTGTGCAGAGAAGGCAGTCTGGTTTTTAAATTATGCAGCCTTTGAATAGAATTAACCGAGAAATTATAGCGTAACCTGATTACTGCAAGGAAAGGAATTTGACAGAGATTTGAATAAATTTGGCAGCCCTTACAAAGGTTGTGTTCATTTTTCTTTCCATATAAGATTTATACCTTGTGAACATTCTCTGTATTATTCTTTTGACCCAGTTTCCTGCTTAGATACAATTTGTTGTATCCAGAACAGTTTTTTTTCCCAGATAGAGAGAGCTTATCTAAGCTTTAAAGCTTCCAGACTGCTGGATCCTATTCTATCCCCATTGTGTGCCTCATGGTCCAGAGAGTTAGACTTTCCAGTGTCTCTATATACAGTATTGATGCTTAGCAGTGCTGGCATTCAGCACTGAGTGCCTTCATGTTTCACACTGCAGAATCTAAACGTCATTCCATTCCATTGCGCGCGTTGACTCACTGTTGCCTGATGCAGCCTGGCTTTCCCCTCAGCTCTTATCTAATAATGCCAATTAGACAAGAGCACTTCCTCAAACCAAGCTGACAATTGCAGCAGTCGGCTAATTAAACACATCCACTGCAAACCGGAATGATGGTGACACTAAATAAAAATTTGATTGTGACAAAACATTTGTTTGCTACAGTTTAAGTTTTCCTCAGTTTGCTCCTTTCGGGGGTTTTAATTTTCCCGTTTTAGGAGAAAAATGTTTATACATAAAGATATAATATGATTAAGACAAAACAATGCAATACTTGCACAAACATACATTCCCCTTAAATCATGAACATATTTGCAGGAAATAAAAATGAATCATGTTTTTTTTTTTTTTTTTTTTATCACTTAAAATACATATTTGGACAAACAGCAGAGTCTTGTGGAACCATTTTTTACTACTAGCTTAGCGTCTCTGAAGGTTGAAATCTTTGCCCATATTTTTTGCAATAAAGCTAATTAGGTTGTTTTACCAAAGAGTCTAATTTCAATCAGTCATTCCATCAGCTCTCTGCTGAAAAAAAGAAAAGCAGAATTAAAGAGCTTTATGGCAAGATTCAAATCAGATTGCTAAATTTAGTACAAAAAAAGGAGCTTTGACGCTCTATTTAAGTGGTTTTTGACTTTTTGAAAAAAGCGTAACTACACTGAAGAAGAGATGGAAATACATTTTTCTAGTAATTTCTGAATAAATGCATATTTTTCTCACATCACATGACTGGTTAGCTGTTTCTGGTGTCCTGAATGCAGCATTAGAATCACAGTTTTCTCTTGATTGTCTAATACTAGCTCACATGATAAAGTAAGTACGGTAAAACTTGCCTGATTGCAACAAATTGTCAAAAACCTTGTTCCAACACAGAGCTGTGGTCCACACGGGCTTGTTAGCTCACTTGCTGTTTACTACAGCTAAGCATAACGTCAACGAATGCCGACATTAAGCTATGCATCACCTTGTTAATTTGCTCCAATGAATCTAAATGCTTTTAATTAGTTTTTTATTTATTTATTTTTTTTATTTAGAAACACAGCTACTAAACACAGAGCTTCACCTCTCTTCCAAAAAGTGAATTGAGTCTTTACAAACCAGGTCTTCAATCATGGTCAATGTGTCCACAGTCTGACTTGTTGTTATATGTATATCAAACTGTTATATTCTACCAAAGGCTGTAAATATCTGCATCTCATCCAGTTTTTGAATATTTCTGCTCTCTGATTAATGCCTTGCTTTCAAAGACTGTATACATGGGCAGCCATATTTATGGTTGTGCCATATTGTTTGGTTTTTTTAGATGACTGAACAAACGATATTCTCTGTGTGATACAAAGTATGGGATATTGTTTGACTGTTTAAAATTATCTATATATGACAGGTCCCCCCATCTAGGGCTTATACAGCAATAGGATAATGACGAGGACAGCACACAAAAAGTTCAGAATTTTACCGTCAGGTTTATGCTACAGAGAACAATTTACAAAACCAGGGCTTATTCAATGAAGCCCCTTTTTTTATTTTCCAAAGTCGACCCCTATAAATCAGACCTCTATAAAGTTGACCCCTATGTCAGGGGTCTGCAGCCTTTCAAAGCAAATGAGACATTTTACCCTGATTCCAGCTAAATAAAAGTTGTTTAGAGTTGTAAATATTACATGCACTGGAAAAAAATTGAAATATAGATAAGCCATTTTTTTTTTTTTTTAGTTAAGGGTAAAAACACTTAATTTAAGACATTTTTAAGTAATTCTTCCTCGTTTTTTCCAATGTGACCATTAAAAAAACCCCACTTATTTTTGTAAAGCATCTGCTATCAGAAACCGGTTATCGTTTTAAACAGCAAACAGTTTATTTGTATTTTTATGTTTTGGAATAAGAAAATACAGAAAATGTTTAATAAAAAAAAGCGTGTTTTTTTTTCTAAATGATGATCTAATGATGCTTAAAAAAAAACACTTTCCAAGCTAATGACAAGAAAAAAAAAGATCAAAAACATATGTCTGGTTCTTTTAATGTCATTTTGCTGTGAAATTTTAGTTCAAAAATTCTCTAAAAAAAAACTGAGGCTTGTAAAACTTTTGGCTACCATCGTCACTATAATCAGCAATTGTAAAGGGTCCAAAAAATCACTTGCATCTCCGAAGCCACAGGTTACTGATCCCTGACATAGATCGATCTAATGCATGTTCGCTTTAATCCAGCCTGACCCTCACTGTATAAACACTGCATGTATAAAAATGTACAAACCAAAATCCTAATAATTATACACACACAGATGTACTATATATATATATATATATATATATATATATATATATATATATATATATATATATATATATATATATATATATATATATATACATACATACACTTTTTCTTGTTCTTTATCTGGAGCAACATGTGACCAAGTCACATTTCTTGTTTCTCCTTCCGCAAATGTTTCCTAGCTGTATTTAAATGGTGATGAAATCACACACAAAAATTTTTTTAATGGAATTCATATAATAGTATTGGAGTGAAAGGGGGCTTAAGAGAATTTCATACTCCACTTTTAAGATATCTGTAATATCTTTTCAAAACCATGTATCATTTTCCATCCATGTAAGGTTTTTTTTTCTACTTTTTTTTTTAATCCAAACAAAACAGATTGAAGTTTGTGGCGTTATTGTGAAATGTGTGGGGAAAAAAACGTCAGGTGCAAGGAATACCTCAGGAAATACACTTTATATCAAAGACAGCCTAGGTTAACTTTGCAATTAAAGGCAATGGATAATTCCGGCTAATTTTCTGGTTGTTGGGGTGCTAGGTATTGATCAAGTGAGAACTGAAATGAAGACACAGGCATTCGCAGTTCCTTCCCAGGAGGAAGCAGGAGTTAATGAAACCCATCTATCAGGGGAGAGATTGTGAGAAACAAAAACTCAGTTTTCAACCTGCCCAGCTGCTGCTCCAGAGACCTGTCAGAGAGAATCCCTCTGATTTCCTCTGTTTTGCTATTTAGTGCCTTTTCTTTCCTGCTTAAAAGAAAATATTATCTCCTCCACAACATGAAGAACACTTTAAATGTCAGCCAAAAAGCACTTGTCAGACATAATAGCTACAGAGATGTGAGCAGCTAAGTGGACATCCATTTTTGGAGCTGCAGTTTGCCACAGCACAAGAGATTAGTTAGCCATGTGGTCAGGGGTGATACAATGTCTTTTCTGATTGGTTTTTAGAGTTGAAGGTAATTTGTTCTCGACTTCTTCTGACCTTTGGAGGAAAATGTGCTTCGTAATCAGCTGCAAACAAGCAGACAAGACGGGGAAGTTAGGTTGATGATGTAGGGAACAGCTTGCCGCGGTTTTCCTGGAGATATAGGACTGTTTCGTATTACTGTCATAGCTCCACTACAGCGCTGTTCATCCTTCCCTAAGATTTTCACCACCGAGTCATCAGTCAGTGTAATTAATAGGTACTGCTTTTGAGTCTGGTCTGGTGGGGATGCTGGGAATGAAGAGAGAATAGCTCAGCGTGACCACATTTACTCTTTCTCGCTCCACATTTAGAACATAGGCGCCTGTTGTACCATTACAGCAATTTTCTGCCCGTGGAGTGTTAAATGCAGGTGTTGTGGCTAGTGTCCCCCTTAAATAAACTCTGCGCCTTATTTAACACTCGCTTTATAGCCTTCAGAAACCAGGGTCATTATGTAATTTTCATATCTGTTGTAACCCCCATTTGCATAATAGGATGTGGACAGTGTGGCTGCACAGAAAACACAGATGGATGCTCACTTATGACCCCTAATGTTCACTTTTTGTTATTTATTTATTGTTGTTTTTGGATAATATTTACAGATCAGTGACTTTAATTTGAACAAAATAATATCTGGCAGCATATTCTGTTTTTTTGCATTGCATATTAAGGATACATATTTTTAATGTCAGAGGCATTTAACTTCCCCCCTAAATTATTGACACCCCTGGGAAATATGTATTTAAATACATGAATAAATTAACACAAAAAATAAAACTAATTGGAAGGCTATTTTTTTCATAGTTAAAAAGAAAATAAATCAGTGTAACACAGTTATTGGCAACATTTATAAGATGATTAGACCCTAATGATTTTTTTTTTTAATTAGATATCCAGGACCCCTCATTTCCTGTTTTATAGATGTATATTGATGCTTTAGACCACTTTCTCTTATCCACTCCTCAAATGAAAAAACTGTGGTGGACTGAAGAGAGAATAGTATATGATAAGAGAAAGCTTGACCCTTCTTTACTTTTTCATTAAAACTTCTATATGGAGGACCTAGAGAGTCACTTAAAAGAAAACCAGCCATTTGAAATGTTACTTTTAAATCATGTAATTTGAAATACAATTTGAAAATCATTTTCTTATTGCACACTGAAAACACA